CCCTGTTGCACGCCCTCACACGAGTCAATTTCATGGTCCCCAAACAATAGTTTGGAAGTCACACTATAACACGATTCTATGAAGGGATAAAGGGAAGGGAAGTTTCTATAAACTGCTTGGAGAGCAGCATCCCTTCTGACTGAGTTGAAAGCATTGGCAAAGTCCAATTTGACCAAGGCTTTTTCATAGGACATGTTTTTGATATATACTCGTGCTGCGTGGGCAGCTGCTTCACAGCCCTGTTGAACGCCGAAACCCAGCTGAGTTGGTTTCAGCATTGCAGCAGCCTCTTGACTCACCCTTCTTACTGCAGCCTTGGCGACTAGGCGCCGAAGGGTGTTACCCACTGCAATGGGCCTGATTCCGCCATCCTTTTTCCGGAGGGCACACAATGAGGCACCAAAGAAAAAGGGTCTGATGGCCTCTGGGACACCGCCAGCCAGGCACAGGTTGGAAAATTTGGTGAGTTCAGACAGCAGCCTCTCTGAAACCTCACCAAGTGCTGGATTGAGTATTTGTTTTATATATATATATATATAGTGGACCCCTCATAACGATCACCTCCGAATGCGACCAATTATGTAAGTGTATTTATGTAAGTGCGTTTGTACGTGTATGTTTGGGGGTCTGAAATGGACTAATCTACTTCACAATATTCCTTATGGGAATAAATTCGGTCAGTACTGGCACCTGAACATACTTCTGGAGTGGAAAAAAATATCGTTAACCGGGGGTCCACTGTATATATTTTATATATACATATATATATATATATATATATATATATTAAAATATATATATATATATATATATATATATATATTATATATAATATTAATATTATATGTTATAATATATAATTAATATATTATATATATATATATATATATATATATAATATATTATATTATATATAAAAATATATATGTTTTAAATATGTTTTGCATAATATATTTATGTACATTATATATTTATATATATATAAATATTATTATATATATTATATATATATTAGAATAAAATATATTATATATATATTATCTAAATACTAGTGTATACTGAACATAGGATGTTGAAGTAGCTTTAATTTAATCAAATAAAACTAATTAATTATGGTTAATTAACAAAGTATATAAGAAAACTATAATTACTTTATACAAAAAAATATATATGTCCTTTTTGCTAGACAGTATGTTTAGCAATAAGAAGTGGGGCAATTTACACTGTACATGTTGCACTATATGTCGTTGATATTGATGAGAATATTGGATTAACCAGACTGTCAGACCAGCGATTTGGAGGAACCTCAATAGGTCATGTTCATTTGTTATTTCATATCCTCGACCCGTGTCTGACTGTTTCACTATGATTGTGCCATCAAGAGTGAAGCATATTTTAATTCTATCACTATTGTTATGTTTGAGCTTACGAAGTCAGTACAGTAGTTTTTGTCGCTTTCTTGTTAAACATTCATTAACAAACACTTCGCAATTCACCTGGATTGAAGAAACTATAAGGTCCTTTTTCCGGCCAAGTGAGTAAAATCTTAGCATCACACCTAGTTTTTGGCCTGGTCTGCCATGATATGTCTGTCTTTGATATGTGCAACTTCAGTGTTGATGTGCATCTTGTCTTTAATTAGCTGAAAAGTATTTTGTGTGCAATTATCCTGGTTTGTATCTGTTGGTAAGCTGACTCTGTGTACATAACAGCATCTTGTAATTTATCTTGTTCCAGTAAGTCCCTTTGATACTGTAGGCATGTACTCCATTGAGAGTCCATGTTTGCCCTCCAGTCTTGTTCAGCCTCTGATAATTTAGTTGTTAGAGAAGCTAGTTGTTTAGTGTGGCTAATGAGAATTGATTCCATGTCTGTGTGTTGTTCAGTCTTTGTTGTCAAGTTAGTTTTCTCTCCAGTTCAGTGATCCTTGAGTTATGGGTTATAAGAACATAAGAAAGAAGGAACACTGCAACAGGCCTACTTACCCATGTGGAGCAGGTCCATGTCCTCCCCCCCAGGATTAAACCAATGACCCCCCTCCCCCCGGATTGGCCCAATGACCCACTCAGTCTGGTCACCTCCGCTCAAGGATGGAGCACTGCACCAGACCCAGCAGCACAAGCTCGTCAGGTCCAACTCACACCCACCCACACCCACTCATGTATTTATCTAACCTATTTTTAAAACTACACAACGTTTTAGCCTGAATAACTGTACTCAGGAGTTTGTTCCAGTCATCCACAACTCTATTACCAAACCAGTGCTTTCCTATATCCTTCCTGAATCTGAATTTTTCCAACTTGAAACCATTGCTGTGAGTCCTGTCTTGGCTGGAAATTTTCAGCACGCTATTTACATCCCCTTTATTTATTCCTGTTTTCCATATACAGTGGACCCCCGCATAACGATCACCTCCGAATGCGACCAATTATGTAAGTGTATTTATGTAAGTGCGTTTGTACATGTATGTTTGGGGGTCTGAAATGGACTAATCTACTTCACAATATTCCTTATGGGAACAAATTCGGATAGTACTGGCACCTGAACATACTTCTGGAGTGAAAAAATATCGTTAACCGGGGGTCCACTGTATACACCTCGATCATATCCCCCCTAATTCTACGCCTTTCGAGAGAGTGCAGATTCAGGGCCCTCAGTCTATCCTCATAGGGAAGATTTCTGATACATGGGATCATCTTTGTCATCCTCCTCTGTACGTTTTCCAGAGCATTTATATCCATCCTGTAATACGGTGACCAGAACTGAGCAGCATAGTCTAAATGAGGCCTAACCAAGGATATATAGAGTTGAAGAACAACCTGAGGACTTCTATTATTTATACTTCTAGATATGAAGCCAAGGATTCTGTTAGCTTTATTGCGAGCACTAATGCACTGTTGTCTTGGCTTCAGATTACTGCTAACCAGAACTCCCAAATCCTTTTTGCAATCAGTAGTATTAAGATCAACATTATTTAGTTTATATGTGGCATGGTTATTTAACTGTCCAACATTTAGAACTTTGCATTTGTCAATATTAAACTGCATCTGCCACTTCTCCGACCATTGCATCAGTCTATTCAAATCATCCTGGAGTGCTCTAGTGTCCTCATTAGAATGAATTGGAGGGCTTATTTTGGTGTCATCAGCAAATTTGCTTATGTCGCTATTTATTCCCTCATCTATGTCGTTTATGTAAATTGTGAACATCAATGGGCCCAACACTGACCCCTGAGGAACACCGCTTGTGACGTGCCCCCATTCTGATTTCTCCCCATTTATGCAATCTCTCTGCTGTCTATTTGTCAGCCATGCCTCTACCCAGGAAAAAATTTCTCCTCCTATTCCGTGTGTCTTAAGTTTCCTCAATAGCCTCTGGTGTGGAACTCTATCGAAAGCCTTACTGAAGTCCATATACACAATATCATATTCATTACCATGATCTACCTCCTCAAACACCTTAGTGAAAAAAGTTAGTAAATTCGCAAGACAGGCACGCCCCTTTGTAAAACCGTGTTGAGATTCATTAATCAATCTGTGCCTGTCAAGATGGCTACGAATTGCTTTGGCAATTATTGATTCCATAAATTTTCCCACTATTGAGGTAAGGCTTATTGGTCTATAGTTCGAAGCCAAGGACCTGTCACCTGCCTTGTAAATAGGTATTACATTTCCCATTTTTCACTTATCAGGCACTATTCCAGTTTGTAGTGATACGTTAAAAAGATTAGCCAAAGGTATGCTAAGTTCCTCTTTACATTCCTTTAACACCCTTGCAAACAGTTCATCAGGGCCTGGGGATTTGTTAGGTTTTAGTTTCTCTGTTTGTCTGAGGACCATGTCACTAGTTACCGCAATTGTACATAGTTTAGTATCATCCTGTTCTACATAATCTATTATTTCAGGAATATCGCTAGTATTTTCCTGGGTGAAAACTGAGAGGAAGTAGGTATTGAGAATTTCACACATATCCTTATCACTGTCAGTGATCTGACCAAAGTTACTCTTAAGTGGGCCAATCTTGTCCCTAATCTTACTTCTGTATACCTGAAAGAACCCTTTTGGGTTAGTCTTTGAATCCCTTGCGACCTTAGCCTCATAATCCCTTTTTGCTTTTCTTATTCCTTTCTTTATTTCTCTCTTTAATTGAATATATTGATTTCTTAACTGCCCATCCCCTCTTTTGATACGCCTATATATGCCTCTCTTTTGACCAATGAGATGTTTTAATCTACTGTTCATCCATTTGGGATCATTTTTGTTAGATCTAATTTCCCTACTTGGAACAAAAGTTGTCTGGGCAGCTAGAACTATGCTCTGAAAAACGTCATATTGGCAACCAAGATCACCTACCTGACCCATAGTCAGGACATCCCAATTTAGCCCACCTAGGTAATTTTTCAGTCCCATGAAGTTGGCCAAGCGAAAATCTGGGACAGAGATTTGATTGCAGTTATCTGGGTAATTCCATGTTCTATTGAAACTAAGTGATTTGTGATCACTCTCCCCAAGCTCATCATTAACCTCATTAGTGAATCTTTGTTGGCAAGAACCAAGTCAAGCAGATTGTTTCCTCTAGTTGGTTCTGTCACAACCTGTTCTAAAAAGCAATCCTGAACCGTATCAAGAAAGTCCCTAGACTCAAGATTTCCTGTCATATTGTTCCAATCAATTTGTCTAAAGTTAAAATCTCCCATTATCACAACATTTTCATATCTAGATGCCTTATGAATTTCGTCCCATAACGGCTTACTGCCCTCCCTATCAAGGTTTGGGGGCCTATAAATCACACCCAAATTTTGTCACGTCCCTCGAGAGACTGTAGCCAAACAGATTCTGTGTCTAATGTTTCTAATCTTATATCTGTGATCCTTTTTTTTCCATACAATTAGTATGTGATACTGCATGTCATCTCACTCATACAATACAGTATTAGTGCCAGTATCTTAATGCATATTGTGATGCTCAGAACATTCTATCATTATTTTTCTCTTTTAACAGCTGAAAATTAATACCATCAGTCCTCTCAAGCTCAACAGTAGTGGTCACATTCCTAATGGCTCAGTGAATGGCCACACACTGAGAAATGGCAGTGTGCACAATGGTTCACTTTCTTTAGCTATTCATGGAAGAAGTGTATTTGATACTGAAGCTGATGTTGATATAGCAAGTGTTGCAGCTCAACGAGACCAGTTGAGAGGTACCAGGAGTATACGTGGAATGATGGCGCCGGTTATGAGTAAGGAGGTATGGTGATTATTCAGTCTTATTTTTAACTGAAAAAATGGCATGTTTGTGCATTACATGCGTTGGGGAAGAGAACTACTATTTATTGAAAAGTGAAAGCCTATATATAAGTTTAAATGAATCGATATCCTTACTGGATAGACACAGTTTATTACTAGGTAGCAAATCCTGCAGAGAGGTATGATAGAGTCAGTTCTTTATTCATACAACTTTTTCTCTTGATCTAATTAAATGTAGGACTGCTACTTCAGATATACTGTATGCATACCCAGAACCTCATAAGATCTCACTATTGCATTGGTGAATTAAGCTTTAACTTATGGAGCTGAATTTAATTTTTCAGGAGGAATCACATTCGAGGAGTGCCAACCGACGAATGAGTCTCAATAAACAACATGGTGAATCCGTCCTTGGAGATCATGAATCTAAAGATATTGCGTTTTCATCCACTGAAACTAAAGAGAATGGAGATAAAAGTGATGTGCTTGGAAATCTTGTAGGAAACAGGAGTGGAACCAAAATTAACAACCATGTACATGGTTTGCGTATTGGTATAGGGGAAATTGGTTTGAGACCACGTGGGGATTATCTAGATGCTACTAGATTTGGTGATATAATGGTTCAGTCTATGAGAAGACAAAGTTTGAGAGGCTCTAAACAGAGTCTATTAGATGGAAACTATGGGAGTTTAGAGTCTAATACAAGTTCAAGAATGAGTATGGGAACAGCTAGTCCAGATGGTGACAAATATCCAGTTTCTGAGCAGGGTTATGCTGAAATGAAAAGAAAATCCCAGCTGAAGTTTCTACCTAGTGCCCATGAGGATATCCAGATCCTCAATCTGCAAGGCTTCATGGATGCCTCAGGAGCTACAGTTGATGGAGGCAGCACCAGTAAGCGAAAACATAAGAAGAAGAGAAATAAGAGATCTGTAGATTCTGGGAACATAGATAAAGGAAGAGAAACATATAAACTCAATGCAAAATCCCGAAGAAAGAGAAATCACAGACATTTGAAGAGTCATTTAAGTGATGATGATGAAGAGATGATGTTAAAAGATATTGACGATATTGATAATAAAGTAGCAGGACTTGTTTTAGGGCCAGAAAATGTAAATAAAGAATCTACTGGACAACCCATCACCTTGGATGAAGCCAGCAACCTAAGACATATTCTTACCGGAAGTCCTGCCCAGCCTCTTCCAACAGAATGGTTGTCTCAAAATTTTAAACAAAATACCAATCCAAATTTATCTTATGGGCTCATCCAAAAAAAGGTAAATACATTTCTTTAAGAAGTAAAAATTTAAATAATCAACAGTCTCTTGCATACTGCTTTATAATTTTAAAAATAATTTAATTGTCCCTCATTTACAGGGAGGACTAAGAGTCCTAGAGGTCTTGTGAAATTTTCTTTCAGATTAAGGGTTCATTTGTGTTTCAAAGACTATATCTCCATACTGTAATTTGTCAGTCTAATGTGATCAGTATTCCCATTTATAAAAAACAATAGATAAAATAAAAAAGATCTGGGATTGGGAAAGAAGTTGAGTGAGAAATGTGGGAGTTTGGAGGAATATGTTGTGTATCTTTATACGTATATGCTTCTAAACTGTTGTATTCTGAGAACCTCTGCAAAAACAGTGATTATGTGTGAGTGATGTGAAAGTGTTGAATGATGATGAAAGTATTTTCTTTTTGGGGATTTTCTTTCTTTTTTGGGTCACCCTGCCTCGGTGGGAGACGGCTGACTTGTTGAAAAAAAAAAATTGGAACCTGCAAATAAGGAACTTCCCAAATGTGTAGTATAACTGTATACTGTAGTATATTAATACAGGTTGACCATCACTAATCCGGCATCATCAGGACCTGTAGGGTGCCAGAATAGTGATTTTGCCGGATTACAGAGTGGTTAGGTTAGAATACATTTAACCCAACAATGATATTTATGCATCAGCGATTTCACCCACCTTATACCCTATTTTTGGCCCATTCCATTGTTCCAGTCTACAAGACTCATAGTTTTTTTTGCTAGTATTCCTTCTATTCTGTCAATTGAGTACAAAAACCACCCATTTATCTATTTCAGCTACCCAATAAACTGGTCAGACATTGGTAATTCGGCCAATTTCACACAAATTTCAAGAGATGCCAATTTCAGAATAAACAGTGCAGACATTCCTACCACTAAAATAACATTTTATCTGTTCATTAGTCACGTTTGCATTCCATTTTGAATTTTTATTCACACAAAAAAATAGAAGATTTACTGTTATGCAAACTACTGCATTATTGTAATAATTGTATAAATAATGTCAACCCATTCGTGACTGCGTATTAGACTGGCCAGTTGAACATGTATTGGACGGTGATGTCATTTGTTTACTTTTGAACATCGCTAAAAATCGAACATTTCTGCTATTTTGAGCTCGATTTTAAGATACTTTCAGCATGAAATCAATCAGAATTATATTTATTTCTGTAATAAATCTTCCATTCTATCAAATGAGATAAAAAACGAGAATACAACCATACAAACCATATGACAGTGTACACCGCAAAGTCACTGTTTTTCACCAAAAGCACAGTTGCCTTTTTTTCTCATTATGCACTGCATGCTGCAGGATTTTTTTTTATATAGTGCACACTTAACACACTGACCTATTCTCTCATATGTAGACCCAAATTTACGAGTCACAGCTTATCTGAGTAAGCTGAGCTCATGGCAACTGACAATGGCTTCAAAACCACCTTATCTTTTATGGACAATGTATGGTGCAATAAGATCACAGTAAACAGGTGATTTCAGAATATGCAAAACAACCACTGTGAAAAAATAGAGAAATTCCAAGCGCTTTCGTGACTACTCACATTATCAAGGAACTATGAAAGTAAAGCATCCAAGGAAGGTATATAAGGGGTCTGGCCAACACCTCACTATCAGATCCCACAACAGTTAAACACCTGACGCGCGCCGGCCCAACTGGACAGGTCCTTCGCACAACCCACCGACAAACTATTCTACCCCAGAAAATTTAAAAAATTATTATTTGTCCAGTGTATTATTAAATTCTTCCCAAATTCTATTAATTATAAATGAATCTAATTTATATAAAACCAAAGGAATATTCATATTATTGTCAAAACTGCTTTTTATGAAACAAGATTCAATTATATTCCGTCACCATGGACTTTTTGGGATATTTTCTTTTCAATTTTTTTGAAAACAATTGAAGGGTTAAAATCCTTACATGAATAAATAGGTTGGGAATCTTGTCCATTCAAAAGCTATATTTATGTTTTTTAATCTTATTCAGTTTTTTTAAAAACCAGTTTGACCGTAAAAATTTATCGCAATTTTAAAAGGGAATCTTATAGAACATCCATCATCTTTTGGGGGGGAATTCTTTACAAAAGTTTTTTTTAAACATCAAGATTTTTGAAACAACTTTAATATTAAAAGCTCAAGAAGAGAAGGCTATCAACCCAAGTTTTCAGGAAAGGGGAAAAACCAAAATATTTTTATTTTGAATAAGGGCGGGTTTTCCCCCTTTTTGGATTGAAAAAAAGATTTCTAGCAACTTAAAAAAGATTTATCAATTACATTTTTTGGGATTTTAAATCATTACCTATTTCAAAATTTTTGGGTATTTCCTCATCTATAACTCGGTAAAAATTTGTAAAGCTCTCAAAAACTTGACGAAAAAACAAAGTTTGACCTATCTTGAGCAAGAATAATATGGACAAAAAAAGTTATTTGTGGGTTTTCTGTAAATTTTAAATTTTTGAATTCATTTTTTCGTTAAAAATTTAAAACACAGAAAAGGCAATGAGTTATTTTCTTCAAACTAACATAAATTTTTTATAGAATGGGCCCCAAAGCTTTTTAAATTTTTTTCCAAAGGGAAAATGGTGTATACTACTTTTTTGGGGCATAAGACACAAAATATAAAACATACTAAACCATTTAGCTTTTTTAGGAGGATTGTTTTAAGAAACCCTTGTTTCAAAAATTTTTCCATGATGGGTTTACTAAAACAGGGAAAGAGGTTTTCCCCATTGCCATACCAACTTCTGAGTGAAAAATTTATTTTAAATAAAAAATTTTGCATCAACAATGTAAATTTTAATAATTTAATGATGCAGGAAGGGCGGGTAAATCTATTTAACAGTCTTTAATAAGAAATTTAAAAAACATCAACAGGGGAAAATTTCGAAACAAGGAAGTAACATCAAAAAAACCAGTTAAAAACATTTAAGTCAGAAAAAGGACTTTTAAATTTATAAATAATTTTTATGTTTTTTTAAAATTAAAGTTTTGAAATTTTGCCAACAATAGGGGTCAAAATATCAACAAGCCATTTGGGTAAAATATATGAAACGACCCTATGGGCTAAAATTGGCTGAATGGGTTCCCCCGGTTTGTGTGTTTTTTTTTAGCCATACATGTAAGGTAAAGATGGATAGTGGGAATAAATTGTTTGACTAATTCATCTTTCTTTCAGTAGAAGTTTTATTGTTTTATTGAAAATTCTGTTAACGTTTTCTATTGGATTTTTTCCCATTTAAATAGTTTCATATCATCTAGAGTTATTCATTTTTTTTTTGGTAACATTTTTTTTCTAATTATATTGCATTTTTTTTTGTCTGCTTTTTGTAAGGCGCAAATTTTTTTTGTTTATTAATGTATCATAAGATTAAAGAATCTTTGAGGGCAATTTTGGGAAAGTTGGTTTTAACATAGGCTATATACCATTCCTTTACTAAAATTAATTTCATCAGAGGATAAAAAAGAAAAAATTTTTAAAAATTACAAAAAGGGTTTTTTCAATTTCCATTATTAAGGAAGTTGCAAAAAATTAGGCCAAAACCTAGAGCAGCTTGTATTTTTGTCTAAAAAATTTTATTGATAAGTTAATTACAAAATTGTTATTAGCATGCTTTGTCCAATCGCTATTTTCAATTAAAATGTCTAATTTTCTTTGTAGTTTGTTTTTGAGTTCATTACAAATTCTTCTGAGTTTATTATAGCAATGATCCAACATACTGTGTTTCCATTCTGATGGAATGGCCTGATTAAAAGAGTATTTTTTGTTTCTCAATATTTTGAATGCTTCCTTCTCCTGTATTTTAGTTATTTCAATATGTTTCTGAAGAATAATTCTCATAAAATCATCAAAAGGACGATCTCTCATGTCAAGGAGTCTATTGGGTAAAAGAGACTTGGGCAGAACTTGTTCATTTAAACAATTTAAAAAAAAATTAAGTCGAATTTTTAACTTGTGGGACTTGATCAGTGCAGAAGAAAACTGGGAAACGAAAGATATATGATTAGGAAAGCTTATCGAGAACATTCTGAAGAGTCTTAGTTGATAAATTAAGCTCCTTGACTGACTTAAATGATTTTAACATGGTTAGTTTTGATGTTACTTCCTTGTTTACTTAAGTTCCTGTTGATGATTTATTAAGTTTCTTATCTGAAGAACTCGTTAACTATGATTTACCATTGCCAGCTCCTACTATCATTAAACTTATTAAACTTTGCATTGTTGATGCAAAATTTGTATTTAATGATAAGTTTTACACTCAGAAGTTTGGTATGGCAATGGGAAATCCTCTTTCACCTGTTCTTAGTAACCTATACATGGAATTTTTTGAAACAAGGTTGCTTAGCACAGTCCTCCCTAATAGAGCTAAATGGTTCAGATATGTTGATATTTTGTGTCTTATGCCCAAAAATGTAGATATACACCATTTCCTTGGAAAATTAAATAGCTTAGCTCATTCTATAAACTTTACTGTTGAGTTTGAAGAAAATAACTCATTGCCTTTTCTAGATGTTTTAATTATTAAGAGTAATAATGAATTCAAATTTAAAATTTACAGAAAACCTACAAATAACTGTTCCTATGTCCACTATTATTCTTCGCATCAAGATAGAGTCAAACTGTCTGTTTTCTCGTCAATGTTTTTGAGAGCTTTATGAATTTGTAGTCCTGATTTTCATAGATGAGGAAATATCCAAAATTTTATGAAATAGGTAATGATTTAAAATACCCAAAAAATGTAATTGATAAATCTTTTAAAGTTGCTAGAAATACTTTTTACAATCCAAAAAGGGACAACCAGCCTTTATTCAACTAAAAATATGTTGGTTCTCCCTTCCCATGAAAATTTGGGTTTTGATATGCCTTCTCTTCTTAAGACTTTTAATATTAAGTTGTATTCAAAAATCTTGATACAGAAAAAAAAACTTTTGATAAAGAATTCCCCCCAAAATGCTGATGGAAGTGTCTATAAGATTCCTTGTAAAATTTGCGATAAAGTTTATTACGGTCAAACTGGTAAAAATCTCGAACTAAGATTAAAACAATGTAAATATAGCATTAGAACTGGACAAGATTCCAATGCTCTATTTATTCATGTAAGAGATTTTAACCATTCAATTGATTTTCAAGAAGTTGAGAAAGTAGTATCAAGCAAGTCCAGGGCCCGACAGGAATATATTTGAATCTTGTTTCAAAAAAAAAGCAGTTTTGACAATAATATGAATATTTCCTTTGGTTTATATAAATTAGATCCATTTATAATTAATAGAATTTGGGAGGAATTTAATAATACACTGGACAAATAATAATTTTTAAAATTTTCTGGGGTAGAATAGTTTGTTGGTGGGTTGTGCAAAGGACCTGTCCAGTTGAGCCGGCGCACGTCAGGTGTTTAACTGTTGTGGGATCTGATAGTGAGGTGTTGGCCAGACCCCTTATATACCTTCCTTGGATGCTTTACTTTCATAGTTCCTTGATAATGTGAGTAGTCACAAAAGCGCTTGGAATTTCTCTATTTTTTCACAGTGGTTGTTTTGCACAATGTATGGTGTATGTGCATTTCTTTTATTCATTGGAACCATGTTTAGAGCTAAAAGTGAGCAGGTTATAACAATAAATGGAGAAATAGAAATTGGAATGACTTGTGCAGCAAATAGTGCCACCAAACAGTAGCAGCATGTTGGTGTGTCGACCCCAGAAATTTGACATTATGCTAGCCGAAATTAGTGCCAGATTACTTTTGGAACCGGATTACTGATTGCTGGATTAATGATGGCCAACCTGTACTGTACTTGATTGAAGTTCATGGTATATTTCTTTAAATATATTTTTGAAAATCCATAATTCATGTACTTTATTACTAAAGCAATAATTCTCTAAATATTCTTTTCATTCTCATATGTCCTGGTGAATGGAGGGGTTTATATCTGAATTTTTCTAATTATGTACTAGGTAGGTAGTATACTTTATACAATAATAGAGACTGCTTATGCTGTGAGACAACTTATTGCATTGAATTAGTTTATGCAGCAGTATAAGCAAGTTATTTGAGGTGTTTTCTTGATTTCAGGGTGGCCCATGTGGAGTACTGGCATGTGTTCAGGCATATATGATGAAGTGTTTGATATTTGGCACAACTGTAGCTCCCAACACAAGTCCCATAAGTCCACTGAGACCATCAGAGAGAGAGTGGTTGTGGGCCTTAGGTGTAGCAATCACAGAGATACTCTGGAAAGCTGGCCAGGAACAGAAGGCAGTGCTGGCTTTGTGAGTTAGCTTGTGATACCCTCAACTAAGAGTTCCTTTATCACCATACTCTTGTACCTAAGACATACTAACCAAATTTAAACATTTTCATAATCATACAGTTCTATAGTAACACAATACCTTATATACAGTAATCAATATAGCATTCAGATACTGTATTGATTATATAAGATTTATTGTTATTTACAGTTTTATTATTATTATTACTGTTATTATTTTATTAATATTTTATCAGATTTATCAGAGCATTAAACCTGCAGTTGTATAGTACCTGGGGAATAGATGGTAGTCATGTTTGATCCAGTTCCTTTAATCAAGAGCCCTTCATTAGCATCAAGGTACTGTATAGCAATAGTGAGTGACAGATCGAATGGAAAAAAAGAGCACACATGATTGCAGCATAATAGTGGATTTATGAAGGGAATGAGATGGGTGTAATTAAAAAAGAAAGGTTGAATGGATTTAGGAAGGGAAAGGGGCTGAGTAGATTTAGCAAGGAAATGGACTGAGTGGATTTAGCAGGGTAAGGGACTGAATGGATTTAGCAGGATAAGGGACTGAGCAGATTTATCAGGGTAAGGGACTGAGTAGATTTAATAAGGGAAGGGGTTGAGTTAAATTACTTAAGAGGTTGAGTTGATTTAATAAAGGATGGGGTTAATTTTATTTAATAAGGAATGGAATAGTTTTATTTAATAAGGGATAGAATAGTTTTATTTAACAAGGAATGGAATAATTTTATTTAATAACGGATGGAATAGTTTTATTTAATAAGAGATGGAATAGTTTTTCAACCTGCTGCCAGCAGATATCAGAAATATTGGAACAAGCATAAACATTTTCAAGAGGAAACTAGACCACAATCTCTGCCAAGTGCCAGAGCAACCAGGCTGTGATGGCTATGTGCTGGCAACAGCCTGGTTGAACAGGCAGTCAACCAAAAAAGCTTAGATCTAGGCCAAACTGAGGGTGTAAAAACTCTTGAAACTGGTCACAGGTATATCACAGGCACTGGTTCAATAGGTCAGTATTGAGCAGCAGTGTCTGCCCTTACAGAAAGTCAAATAAAGAGTGGGTTATGGCACAAGTTTTCGTATTTGGGTTAGTTTGTCTTGGCAGGAATAACTGATGAGCTTCAAAAACTTGTTGGTATTGTATTTGTACATTAAATGGCACTGAAGAATTAATCATTGCTTAAACTTTCCAGGCCTGGTTCTTTTGCTCATTTTACTGAGCATGGTATTGGTCGCTACAGCCAAGATGGAATGACTGAGTCTCTCACTTTGCATGAGTTTGTGGAGCTGCAAGACCTTTATGATGCTGTAACTCGATATATCTCGGCTTTCACCTCAGAGAATAGTTCAGGATGTGTCATTCTGCTGTATTCTCTGATATTTACCAGAGGCATACAAAAGTAAGCTTTTGTAAACTTTGTTATGTTAGGCAAAAGGACACACAAGTGTAACTGTGATGTTCTATTATGGCAATGTTTTGCTCTCCAGGAGCATTGTCAAACTTACATAACGTCTTGACAAAGCTCCTGGAGAGTGAAGCATTGCCACAGCATAATGGCACATTAGTTGTGCATGTGTTTATTTATCTAACATATTGTCAGTAATTTTACCAACATTATTACATTTTGTAAATTTTGATATCAAGTTTGGTGTTTTAAAGTTTCTCAAGACTTTTGATTATTTTATTTCATTGGTTGAAATTAAAATGCCAAATAAAGTTGAGAGGAGGTGCAAGATTACCAACACTATTATCCAAAGGGCTGAGGAGGGGTTGTTGAGGTGGTTTGGACATGTAGAGAGGATAGAACAAAATAGAATGACTTTGAGAGTACATATACAAATCTGTAGTGGAGGGAAGGCGGGGTAGGGGTCGGCCTAGGAAAGGTTGGAGGGAGGGGGTAAAGGAGGTTTTGTGTGCAAAGGGTTTGGACTTCCAGCAAGCATGCATGAGTGTGTTAGACAGGAGCAAATGGAGACAGATAGTGTTTAGGACTTGATGTGCTTCTGGAGTGTGAGCAAGGTAACATTTATGAAGGGATTCAGGGAAACTGGCAGATCGGACTTGAATTCTGGGGATGGGAAGTACAGTGCCTACACTCTGAACGAGGGGTGTTAATGTTGCAGTTTTATAACTGTAGTGTAAGCGCACCTCTGGTAAGACAGCGATGGAGTGAATGATGAAAGTTTTTCTTTTTCTTTTTCTCCCATTTCATACACATTCTGGAAACAAAGGCAGAACACCCCTGCTCTGGCCATTGATGAATTAGTAAGGGTTGGGTATTCTCAGAGGGATTCCAAAAAGCCATCAAAGTCTATTTGTTGAAATTTTTTCCTTCAGTGAGATGAGTAAAAAATTAAAATAGAAAATAGAAATAGAAAATGATTTCTGCTCTTGACTCTCGCCCAGGCAGGTCATAGCAGCTCTCCTTACTCTGTCTCCCTACGATCCCCGTTGGGGAGGGGAACCTTTACCAGCGTTGTCATCGCCTTGACTTACACGATGAGCTACGCAGATCGTGTAAACATCAAACCAACAAACGGTACCGTTGATGATTCAACGAAGATTGCTCTTGCAACTATTGTTCAAGGAGCACTGCAAGTAAAATTGAACACCATATTGTCACTGAAAGAAGCATTCATTGTTGTGTGTTACGATGATACTGAAGCAGAGAAGTTACTTACTACAGAAGCCACCACTACTCTTACTGCTAAAGGGGTTTACTGTTACATCATCTCCTGCCCTCCAGGGCAAGGAAATCAGTATTCCTTAAAAAACTTGACAAGATTCTGACTTCTCAATCACAGCTGAACTCAAGTCATCCATCGAGACGCAAAATACTTGGGCTGCTGTTGACAGCATTACAAAATCCAAATGCAACGTCCATGTTCAAGGTCACCTTCACCGACGTGAACATGGCTGCCACTGGCTCTGAACGAAGGTCTTGCTGTTACTACTACTACATCAGTCCTACCTACATTGAAGCAGAGAGATACCACTACATTCAACATGCTGGAACTGTTATTCATACATCACACCACCAAAGCATGTCCAGTAAAAGACAAGAAGTTCTGCACTACATGTGGTAGTGAGGGACACACCTTCAGTTCCTGCAACGCTGCTGCTCCATCACAACCAGCGTGCTTAAACTGCAAGAGTAATGACCACCATACACTGGCAGCAAAATGTCCTACAAGAAAGGATATTATGAAGAAAACGCAAGATGCAGCAAAGAAAAAACCTACAAGCAACACTCCAACGTATGCAGCAATTGCAAAGATACAAGCAAACACTACAAAATTACTTTAAGCATCTACTCAGCCCGCCTCCACCGTCATCACTCCTCCAACATGTGACGTAACCAAGATCCACTACTGCTTACTATATGCTCACATGCAGAACATGGCTGTACCTGGATCCTTTAACTCTACCATCAACGAGTTATTTGCATTAAATAATATGCCTTCATTTACATTTCCAGCATCTCCACCTTCTGAAGAAATTCTCAAATTCACCAAAAACTTAATCGCCAACTCTTCTGCAGAAGTCCCATCAACACCACCAACTAATGACGTCAATCCAACACGACCAATGAGAAGCTCCACCGCCACACCTCTCACTGAATCCAACCAATCAGAAGCCTTACCACCAGAAACATCTTCTAATTCGTCTACTGAAGTGAAAACGAAGCAACACCACCTTCCTCTACTCCACCACCGCCTTCTCTACTTAGCTCACGTCGATTACCTGGCACACCGTGCTTTAAACACAAAGGACTCGAATTCTACACCACGAGGCTATACCCTGCAAGCATGACTCGCCTAGAACTCGTCCAACATCTCCAAGACAACACTGTATCGTACCAAAGCGAAGAAAGACCATTCCCTACCTACAACCAGATACTCCACCACCTCCAAACCAACGAATACTACTACAGCTCTCCCATAAGTATGATACAACTCTCTCGAAAACAATATACCGCACTGATAAACGGTTTAAGACCATTACCAACTCATCCTGCTTGCTGCCTTCTGACACTCCCAGCTCCTGCCGCTGCCTTCGCCATCCTCTAGTGAGCCAAGCAATGACATCAGTCAAGCCTCTCTACCTACGTCTCCAGTACTTTTGTACCACATGTCCCAAAGTGGTTGGGCCACTTGCCTTGATTCCTCCTCTTCCCCTCCTCCCCATCCTTTTCCAGTTATTTCCATCTTTCCATATCCTTCTTCCTTCCCATCTTATGACAGCTCTCGTCGTCCTCGATCGATCGATCTCGAGATGAGTAAATTTGCCATGTTATAGTATTGTTATATTCATGGGAGAAGTGATAAACCTTTAACCCTTTCAGGGTTTCGGCCGTACTAGTACGGCTTACGCACCAGGGTTTTTGACATACTAGTACGCCTAAATTCTAGCGCCCTCAAATCTAGTGAGAGAAAGCTGGTAGGCCTACATATGAAAGAATGGGTCTATGTAGTCAGTGTGTGTAGTATAAAAAAATCCTGCAGCACGAAGCACGTAATGAGAAAAAAAAACTTTGACCATGTTTTTGGATTAAAACAGCGACTTTGCACTGTATTTTTGTATGGTATTTATTGTTGTATTCTAGTTTTCCTGGTCTCATTCTATAGAATGGAAGACATATTACAGAAATTGAGATGATATTGACTGATTTTACAATGAAAAGTACCTTGAAATTGAGCTCAAACTAGCAGAAATGTTTGATTTTTACCAAAGTTCAAAAGTAAACAAATCATGCTAGGCGTCCAATCCACGTCAACTGGTGAGTCTAATATTCTTTCACAAGTGCGCCGATATTATTTATATCATTTTTTACACTAATGCAGTAGTTTGCATAACAGTAAATCTTCTATTTTTTGTGAGAATAAAAATTGAAAGTGGAAAACAAAAGAATGTAAGAGGGGCATGACTAATGAACAGAGGAAATGTCATTTTAGTGCCAGGAATGTCTTTCTTGTTTATTCTGGACCCTATTTTGAAATTGGCATCTTTTGAAATTTGTGTGAAATTGGCAAAATTGCTAAATTCTGACCACTGTATTGAATAGTTGAAATCGGTAAATGGGTGGTTTCTTGTACTCATTCGATAGAAAAAATGGAGTTCTAGCAAAATATTCATGATTTTTGTCGACTAGTACACTGGAATTGGCCAAAAATAGGGCTCAAAGTGGGCAAAATCACCAATGTGTAAACATCGTCGAGACCGCTAACTTCGCGAGAGCATAATTCCGTAAGTTTTCCATCAAAGTTCATACTTGTGGTGTCATTATGATCGGGAAAAGATTCTGTATCTTTTCATAAGAAAAAATAATTTTTTTTTTTTTTAAATTTGGGCGACCCTGAGAACAAGTCTCTGAGAGGGCCTGTCGACCCTGAAAGGGTTAAGGGTCATATAGCACCTGGACATGGGAGGAAATCGCTGTCTACAATACCATATTTTTCAGAAAGATTCCATAAAATATGTTTGTAATAGTCTGTTTGTTGTGTTGTCTGAAGATATATAATTTTCATTGCAGCATTCAGACTGATATGGATGAAGGTGGAGGACATCTTATAAGTGCACATGGATATTCTTCCCAAGAAATTGTTAATCTCCTTCTGACTGGAAGAGCTTTTACTAACACTTTCAATGGAGATCAGACTTTAGGAAATAATGCTGGGCAATCACTTGTACTTCATGGAATCACCCATAAAGCAGAAATTGGTCTTCTTTCACTTTTTGAACACTATGATTGTTTCAAGGTAGGTAAAGTATGTATAAGCGAAAGAGTATTTATTATAAAAATTGGCAGAATGCTGTATGTTTATTTCTTCAAAACAGAATAATTCTTTTAAAGAAACACTTTCGTATACTGTGCGATACTCATATATTTGAACATTTTCAAAAAGGTTTTCATAAATCAAGTTTGAAATATTCAAACATCTTGCTAGGAGTAACTCCATATCAGGAATACATCTATCATATGCATGTCAATCCCATAGTTCCAACTTCAAATTTAAAGCAGTGCTCTTTATTTAATCAGTTACTGTATTTTATACAAATGTGAAAAATATGTACAGTTTATAAACTTCCATTGTAGGAAAAAATAGTCTTATATATTTATTAACTCTCCCGTCATTTCTCACCAAGGCAAGGTATCTCAAAAGGAAACAAATTCACCATCACTTATTTAACAGCTATCATGACAGAAGAGTGCAGACATCACATTTCAAATGACTCTCCAAACTGTAACATAGCTGCCCTGTTTTCAGAGGGCAGGCACTGTACTCTTCACGTCCAGGACTCAAAATTATATGTATTTTATCCTTTCATTCTGTGTTCATAATCAGTGTGTCAGCACATACAGTGTAATTTTTAAACAATTCTCTCAAATTCATAAGCCTACAGCTCAGGGTTTTTTGACCCTGATTTTTTTTCTCCAAAAAATTGTAATTGAAATAATGGAATTATTTGTTTCATCAGTTATGTGAAAAAACCCTACATTAAAGCTTTCATTGAAGGTTATGTTAGGTACAAAAATGCTACTTTAATATAGGTTGAGTATCCCTTATCCAAAATTCCAGAATTTGAAAAGCTCCAAAATCTGAAACTTTTTTCAAGCATTTACATGACTACAGTGGAAAATTCTAGTAGACTCTGGGAAAGTTTCCAGGCATTGCGCAGGTCTATGTGTACTCAGACATTGCGACAAGTGATCTTACCTACCCTGGGTGGGGCTCTGACACTGTTTGCACCAGTTTATCAACAGTCGTCACTGCGAGACCTACGTGTATTATTCACTGTAATTACTGCATATTTTGTGCTTATTCTCTGGTCTGTGGTGTATAGATATTGTTGAAAGTGTCAAAAAGGCCTGCAGATAACCCTATGGGTAACAGCTATAAGAAAGAGTGCAGTAGTGGCATCATAGGTGGAGACTGAAAGTCTGTCATTGTTGTTGTTGCTTTTTTTTTCCATCAGACTGGCCATATCCCACCAAGGCAGGGTGACCTAAAAAGAAAAATGAAAGTTTTTCTTTTTAAATTTAGTAATGTATACAGGAGAAAGGGTTACTAGCCCCTTGCTCTCAGCATTTTAGTCACCTCCTACGACACACATGGCTTACGGAAGAAGAATTCTGTTCCACATCCCCATGGAGACATATATATTTTAGCCTTTTCACTCCATATTCTTAATCAATACATCACAGAGGAAGTGTATGATTGCAAGCAGAATTGAAAAATTTTAAATTCTCTGATTTTAGAGGTTGAATCTACATTTCTTACAAAATTAGCAATTTACATGGCAGACATATTTATTGATCAGTAATGTTCTAGAAATGTGAAAAAGTTATACCTTGATGCTTGTGAAGAGCTCTTGATCCAATGAATGGGAGCTACCCTTCCCTTACTCATTATCAAATCTCATTGCCTTTTTTTCCCAGCTGGTATATCATCCCTTTGTGTTTAGTGCTTCCCAAGAATATAATGATTTTTTTTAGCACATTGGCCATGTCCCACTAGGGTAGAGTAACCTGAGAAAGAAGACATGCTTTCAGTCATTCATTCAATCATTGTCTTGACAAAAGCATGCTGCCATCACAGCTCAGATAACCCTCTGAACTGCAACTGCCCCACCCCTCCTTTGTATGTATATGTATGTGATACATATATTTAAAAGCAGTATAAGAAATTTTTGAGGCTAGTGAGGCTCAGGTCAGGATATGTAAAAGAGAGCGAGATTATGGAAATATAAACACATATGCAGTATGTAAAAGTAGGCCTTAGATGGATGCTTGATATCACTATGGTTTTTTTTTTTTTTCAACAAGTCGGCCGTCTCCCACCGAGGCAGGGTGACCCAAAAAAGAAAGAAAATCCCCAAAAAGAAAATACTTTCATCATCATTCAACACTTTCACCTCACTCACACATAATCACTGTTTTTGCAGAGGTGCTCAGAATACAACAGTTTAGAAGTATATACGTATAAAGATACACAACATATCCCTCCAAACTGCCAATATCCTAAACCCCTCCTTTAAAGTGCAGGCATTGTACTTCCCATTTCCAGGACTCAAGTCCGGCTGTATAAAATAACTGGTTTCCCTGAATCCCTTCACTAAATATTACCCTGCTCACACTCCAACAGCTTGTCAGGTCCCAAATACCATTCGTCTCCATTCACTCCTATCTAACATGCTCACGCACGTTTACTGGAAGCCCAAGCCCCCCGCCCACAAAACCTCCTTTACCCCATGCCTCCAACCATTTCGAGGACGACCCCTACCCTGTCTTCCTTTCCCTACAGATTTATACGCTCTCCATGTCATTCTACTTTGATCCATTCTCTCTAAATGACCAAACCACCTCAACAACAGTCCTCTGACTAATACTTTTATTAACTCCACACCTTCTCCTAATTTCCACACTCCAAATTTTCTGCATAATATTTGCACCACACATTGCCCTTAGACAGGACATCTCCACTGCCTCCAACTGCCTCCTTGCTGCAGCATTTACAGACCAAGCTTCACACCTATATAAGAGAGTTGGTATCACTATACTTTCATATATTTCCTTCTTTGCCTCCATAGATAACTTTTTTTTGTCTCCACATATACCTCAATGCACCATTCACCTTTTTTCCTTCATCAATTTTATGGTTAACCACATCCTTCATAAACACATCCACTGACAAGTCAACTCCCAAATATCTGAAAACATTCACTTCTTGACAGTTCCTCTCCCACTCTATCATCTGCTCTTCTTTTGCACTCTATCACCACTCTCTTCACCTTTCTTTTGCACTCTATCACCACTCTCTTCACCTTTATTTTACTCTCCATATACTTTGCTCTTCTTATAACACTTCTGCTTTGTTAAAACCTCTCATAAGCTACCTTTTTCTCTTTTATCACACCCTTTACTTCATCATTCCACCAATCACTCCTCTTTCCTCCTGCACCCACCCTCCTATAGCCACAAACTTCTGCCCCACATTCTAATACTGCATTTTTAAAACTATTCCAGCCCTCTTCAATCCTCCCACTACTCATACTTGCACTAGCCCACTTCTGCCAATAGTTGCTTATATCTCACCCTAACTTCCTCCTCCCTTAGTTTATACACTTTCACCTCTCTCTTACTTGTTGTTGCCATTTTCCTTTTGTCCCATTTACCTCTTACTCTAACTGTAGCTACAACTAAATAGTGATCCAACATATCAGTTGCCCCTCTATAAACATGTACATCCTGAACCCTACCCATCAACCTTTTATCCACCAATACATAATCTACCCTGTATACTTATTTTTCATAAAATATGTATTACTAATTACCAAACCTCTTTTTACACATAGCTCAATTAAAGGCTTCCTATTTTTATTTACCCCTGGCACCCAAAATTTACCTACTACTCCCTCCACAACATTTTTACCCAATTTAGCATTGAAATCCCCAACCACAAGTACTCTCACACTTTTTTTCAATTCAATTCAAGTTTATTCTCTATAAGGGTTACAATGTGGGGTTTACAGGTTTTGGGTATTGTGTGGTTTACATGCTATAAAATACTAATTACAAATGGGGCCACTAGGACGCCTAGCATGGCTAGGCATTTCGAGTAGACTTAGATTAATTCTTAACATTAAATCCTTACAGATTATGCTATTAAGGCTAAGTGACTACATCATAATTTGTGAGTTTAGCAATGTGAATGCTTTTGTTTTGGCACAATACAAAGTGTCTATATTGGAGTATCATAGGCAAGCTTATGACTAGTTAGGATTTATTATTTTAAGATTAAGATTAGTATTTCTGGGTTTATAGTCAGTGGGTGAGTGAGTGTAATTGTGAACCACCAGGTGGTTATCATGTAGTTAGTTGTCGGGGTGGATCAGGGAGATAAGATGTTTTCTAACTTTAGTTTTGAAAGTGATGAATGTGTCTGCAGTTCTAGAGTTTTCAGGCAGGGTGTTCCAGATTTTAGGTCCTTTGAAATACATTGAATTTTTGTAAAGGTTTAGTCGAACACGGGAAATGTCATAGAGATGTTTGTGTCTGGTGTTATGCCTGTGGATCCTGTCACAACTATCAAGAAAGCATTTTAGGTCAAGGTTAATATTGGAATTTAAGGTCCTGTAGATATAGATTGCACAGTAGTAAGTGTGGATGTTCTGAACAGGGAGTAAGTTTAGATCTATGAAGAGTGGGGGAAGGGGGGGTGTTGCCAGGGATGGGATTTAGTGATTATTCTTACTGCGGCTTTTTGTTGGGTTATTATTGGCTTTAGGTGTGTTGCTGCAGTTGAACCCCAAGCACAGATAGCATAGGTGAAGTATGGATATATAAGTGAATGGTATAGTGTGAGAAAGGCAGTTTGCAGCACATAGTATCGTATCTTGGAGAGGATCCCCACTGTTTTGGATACTTTTTTTATGTGTTGGATATGGGTGCTGAAATTTAGGCTGTTGTCGAGGTATAGGCCAAGGAATTTGCCCTCATTATGTCTGGCAATTAGAGTGTTGTCGATCTTAATGTTAAGTTGCGCAACACCTGCTCTGCTACCAAACATAATATAGTAGGTTTTGCCAGTGTTAAGTGCAAGTTTATTGGCTGTCATCCAAGTCGATATTTTGAGCAGCTCCTCATTAACAATGGTGTTGAGTGTGGCAAGATTAGGGTGGGAGATGACTTAAGTTGTGCCGTCAGCAAAGAGAATGGGTTTCAGGTGTTGGGATATGTTTGGAAGATCATTGATGTAAATGAGGAAGAGCAGGGGTCCAAGGACACTTCCCTGCAGAACCCCAGTATCAAGTGGCCGTATTGATGAGGCTGTGTCTATAATGGTGACATACTGAT